TCACGATCGAAATTTACAAAAGAGAAGAGATAAACCTTCAGTAAATAAACATGGATCATTTGGAGAGAAAAAAGACGAAGAATTATGTTTTGGAACTCTTGTCCGACAGAATATGACGCAGAGAGCGCGTGGAAGAAATGGACAAGATTTTTAGTCAAGTTCACTGCCAACGCAAACGGCAAATTTCGCCTACTTTTCTTCTTATCCAATAGACCAAACTCACAAATATCTTCTAATTACAATAAACGCAGATATTTTTACATTATTGCTCGTAAAGCTGAAAGGCAGACGAAACTGAAAAGAGTCCAGAGAAAGAAGTACAGAGATATGCAGGCAAAGTTGTTTGTGCACTGGGATGAATACCAGCAGGGAAAGAAGAGTACCTCGTAACTTCTCAGGTCGTGTTCGTATTTGAACGGACCAAGAGCTAATTGATTGAAACCAATCCGTGAATAGAGTGGAAATAGACTTCAGTCGGAAGTAATCTGTGAGCGGGTCACGCCACATGAATTCAAACTTGCTTGATTCGAATTTACATAAAATATATAACATGTTAATTGTACAACACAGTCGTTTTAGAAACGCCTTCAATCACAAATAAAAGTTTTTTTTCTTTAATAAAAGCATCATCGAAGCATTATGTATAAGCAAAACACAAAAAACACTGTGCACATGCTTGGCACATTTACATGAACATAAAGCCACGTTCGGGGAATTGTCTAATTTGCATGAAATCCACACAATTCTTGTCTCCGTATCTTTCCATAAATACTTTTCAATATAAATATGTTGCATAAATACAAATGTCAAAGGACATAAAATGTAAGTTAGACATAAAAAAACATATTTTATGAGGGGGTCAAACTTGGAGTTGACACGGGTCGAAGTTAAACGGAGCGAAAATGAGACGTAAATACTTTTAAAATTTAAATCTGTTGCATAAATACAAGTGTTAAAGGACAAAATATAAGTTAGACATAAAAACACATATATGAGGAAGCGAGTTGAACTTGAAGTTGACACGGGTCGTAGTTACACGGGGCAAACATGAAACGGGGCGAAACTGGCGTAATTCTACTCCCACCGACGCATCACCTGATTTTCTTTGGAAACTCAACCCCTTTATTCATCATATTTACCACACGTAAAAACGCTTTTCGTAAAAACGCTTGGTAAAATTTCCGCACAGACCCATACTATTGTAAAACAGATCTGTTTTCCTAATGGCAATGTATTGTTTTTGTCATTGTTTTCTCTATCCAAGAATTGAATGCATAATGTAATATGGGGCTGTGCGGAAATTTTACCAAACGCTTTTCGATGTGGGTAACTTACCGAACTCAAATGAAATTTGCCGAACGTTCGTTTACCTCAACCGGATTTTAGGTACGTACCATACAATAACCTCACCTTCTTTGGGATTCGATGGTTGCCTGCTCTTTTTCCCTAAATTTTTCAAGCTTTTCAAAAGATTGCTCATTATTCTCCCGGAATTACTACAGATTCCTTTCGTTCCCAACTTCCTGTGTAAAGAATTCCAGCTGGGCAGAAACCAAATTTACTAAAAAAAACTTTCGAACTCTGGGCGTGACATTTTTCCGCTGGCAGAAACTCAATGGCGCCAGTAGTTCTAACGAGAATTCCCATTGGATTAAATTCTTGCATTTCGGCCAACAAGACCAATCTTTACTTCTCCGTTCACTTCCTTCTGAATGTTGATTGGCTTTAAGAAGAGACGGGAACCAAATTTAAGTTATCAGAACCAACTGGAGCTGGCTGGAACTGAGGACTGATTAGTAAGTAATCAACGAAGTAACTAATATTTAGTCCAGTCCGATGTTTGACTAACAAATTTTAGCCTCAATGATATTAGTTTCCATATATACTCCATATACTCGATTGTGTTTGTTTCCTCAATACCAGATTACGTCTAATTAACCTCTCGTCCTTCAAGTTGTTCTTATTTATCGACCAAATCTATCACTTTCCGAAGAGATTCGCCACAGTTGCCGTTGATTAGGAAAAAAACTTAGAAATTTCAGCAATTCAATGAATAGTAATTCAGGTGTGAATGAAAGTGATCCTCGCAGTAATGTGCACTACTTGGGCAGTAGTGAAAATAAGGCCTGAAAAAAACTCAGGCCTGTACGGGATTTGAACCCCGGTGCAGCGCTCTACAAACTGAGCTAACAAGCCAACTTACTGCGAGGATCACTTTCATTCACGTCTTTATCCGCGGTTCAAATATACGACTTTCGTATATTCTTAACTGTTTAATAGTCATGAACGAAGCCAATGGGCGGAAAAGCATGACTGTATGCGAGTTAAGGATAATGGAATTAACAAGTTACGGTCCAATTCAGGTGTAACTGCTTCAGGATTATTTTATCACAGTGCATTGCATTTTCATGTGACCTTGCTTCTTCCTTGTTCCATAACGTACTATTTTTAAGCACTGACTCAACTTCCGCCTATTTTGATTAGAATTACATAATTAAATAAAATCTCGCATTCTGATCGGTCAACGAAGCGAAGTATTTAGCGTGGAATTGCGAGTTGAAAACGAGGCTAGGTGATATTGTTTCGCATCTACGTAAATATAACAACTATCGCCAAATTGTAACAAAGTTTTCTACGATGTCATTTTAAACTGTTAGCAAAACCATTGACACCTTTTGAAGAGCGAAAAACGAACAAAAGCGTTTTGCAAAGTGAGTCAGAGGTTCTTCCCTGTTTTGAAATGAACTACAAACTTTTGGAGAGGCATAAAAGCGAGAAAATCCTGTGAACACGGCCTAGAAAATGGCAAGGAAAAGTTCAACCACACAAGACGAAGAAGCGACAACGGAAGAAGTGCCAGGGTCGATTGCCATACGTGTAGAAGAGGAAATAAATACCTTTAATCGCGATGTTAAACTTTCAGCGCTTTCGGTTGGACACTTCATTTCTTTCAGTTTTGCCACAAGAGAGATAAAAGGTATAAATTAATTTCCTTCTCGAGCAAACGATTTGGAAATTTGGAAAAAGATGTTAAAGATAAACGGCTTGTAAATTCAATGAAATACCACCATCATCCTTAAAATAGTGTGAAGCTTGTTAAAAAGTTTGAAGACAAATGTAAAAACAAGCACAAGATAAAATTAAAGTTGTCGAAGATTCAAATGTGTACCACTGATCTTGCTTCCTATTCGCTATCGCAATGACAGTTCTGACAGTTTACTTTGAAATGTTTTTCTGGGGCACGCGCTCAGGATAAAAACAAACAATATTAATATTGTTTTCATTTTTAACTCGTGAATTGCGCGCATACGCAAGAGCGAGTTGTAGATACGATGTGGGGAATAGCACTCGCTCGCTCGCTCGCTCGATTGGTCAATTCCTGTAAACGTTTTTTCGATTTTAGGCTTTTGAGTGCATTTGATAGTTTTTGGCGAGCAATAAACGAACGAAATGGCGACCTTTGTTGCTAAGAATAGTGGTGGGGTGACAGAGAAGCCAATGATAATCTTAAAAGAGTTTTTTTTTCGTTTTAGTTTCAACAAGCGGCGCCAGCGACTGGCAGGCATGCAAGGATTCACACTGAAATAACAGAACAACCTTGTTTTTCATAAAATTGTAATTTACAATCCTTGAACTTGAGAACAGTCCGAAGATTCATTGAAAATATCACTTACTGCGAAGCTCTCGGAGTTTACAGATGTTCGAAAGCTTTTTCTGTTACGGCGTGAGATTGAGGACAAAATCGATCATCACGTTTGGTATCTTGTGTTTTTCCTGTGTGAAGCAACAAAAGATGCCGGCGACTAACGAAATTACAAGTTAACACGAAATCAAATAACACCTAAACAAACAATTTTAGCTACCGATTTTCAGTGAATTTTTAAAGAACAATTTTCTTTTGAGTTTCAAGACAATTTGAAGATTCAAAATACATATTACGTACTAAAATGCTTAGGTTATACACCACAAAATTGATAAATAGGCCTGAAATGAAATTCTATCTTGTTATTGATTATACGTTGCCTAGCACGTGACTAAAATCTACCCAGGCGGAGATCCAAAATGACGGTGGCAGTCTTGGCTTAGGTATATCACTCAAAACTCGTTCCTGTTTGTCTCATTTGATAAAGAGGGAATCGTTAATGTTTACATTAAGACAGTATTGCCTTGATTTTCTGATATTTACAATGATAGACAGTGAATTTCACTTTTCACGCACATTTACTTCCAACCTTTTCTTTTGAACCAGAAACAGAAATGATATACGTTTAAAACACATGACATCATCCACCCCTGTCAAATGCAATAGCATGATCATTTCAATTGTAATGCCTTCTTATCCCAACGTTACTTTGTTTCTTTGCTACAATAGCGAACACTGAACTACTGCTCGTACTCTGGATATGACAATCAACCACAAAACTCCCTAAACCAGATCTAAACCAGATAACATTAAACATAATCCAAAAAATCATGTGTCAATTCACGAGTTTGCTCACAGAGCACTTTGATTTCTTATTTTGATGCAATTATGAGATTCAGGGAAAATCCATTACCTGACTTATGAATTCCTGAACGATTTCGCGATTCATGCGATATCGGTTTTCGCTTGCAGTTTAACTCGGAATTCTCTCGTCAGGTGATAAATTTTCCTATAAAATTTACACTTTATGAAAAGAAATCAGGTAAAACGTTTTTGTATTTATTTCTGGTCATTTGTTGTCTTGAACTTTTGACAACTCCAACTTGATTATGGCCCGGTCGCCTGAGGGGGGAGGGGGAAATGTTATGGACAGGTCGCCTGAGGGGGGATGGTGGAGGGTTTTGAATGAGTCACGATTAAGTTTACACGATCCCCCCTCTTAGGATGATTATCTCTCGTCAGCAATAATGCTTTTCACGATTTATCTGTTTCTATAACTTCCTAAAAAAGTTTTAACCTTAGTTCATTTTAACTCTTTTGGTACAGGAAAACCCTCCAATCAACGATCAGAAAGAAAATGGCGTATATGACACAAAGGACATCCATAATTGTCTACCTTGTCTTTCATTTGATCAGTAGTCTTGTGATTTGCACCAGAGCAGACCTAATAAGTGAGTGCACCGACACCACTATTTGTATTGGAACCTATGCTGACATCTACAAATCCTTAGCATCAGATGTGAACAGTTTTAACATCGAATCCGCCTTATATCCGGCAAATGAGCCTTCCTCAGTTCTAGTCTTCGTCAATATATATGGTCAGAATGGACCAGATAAAGCAGGCAACGATTCCATACCTGCTGTAATGAAATACACATGGAGTTTAAGAAGCCTTTATGCTGCTTTTCCCGCTGTTTTCCTGGAGATCTCATCCCTTTTCTCGATACTGGTGACTCCACGCACGCAAGAACTAAACATCACGATTCCATACTTTTGCTGCAATGTTTCTGTAAAAGACAGGAAAAGAATGATTAAAACTATACTGGCTGCCGTAAGTATTTCAAATAGCTATTTTTTATTAGCACACAAAGCCCCATTCGCGAATTCAAGATGTTAGCGCAATGCTCAACCAGTTTGCTTAGAAATTCCGAAAAGTTTCTGATGAGTCTTTTAGCTGAGACGAAACGCAGCATGTTATTAACCACGAAATATTTTTTCACAAGTATTTAACAATTTCTATCGTAGAAATAATTAAAAATGTCCGTAATACAAAATTTCAATCTCACTTTACCTAAACCGTCACGTTCACATTTTTCTTTTCTACAAAAATATTTTGGACTCATCCTCACTGATACATTTTGAGTGGTTTGTGTATCAATATGCTGTTGCGGCTGCTCGACGCCCAGCCGTCGCCTGGGTCCTCATACGGAACATTTAAGTTTTTCGTGCATGCCCGGTGGCGGCATCCTCGAACGGTGCCACGAGGCCACCGAGTTAACACCTTTTTATCTCGTTCGGTTTTTCGATTTTTGGTCTTAATGTTAGACAATGTAAAATTTTGTGCGAGTTTTCTCAAAGCCCTCGTGAAGGATTTTGGATTAAATTTTGATATTTCAAATGGTTAGTCACCGTTCGCGGCAACAATTCTTTCCTGAGTAGTTTGAAAATGAGAAGTTTATACCCTCCGTAACAAAAAGGTATCTCTTTACATCCCTAGCTCTACGAGGGCCATTTCTGTACAAAGGCCACTGTACCCTGTGTGGAGAGGGTTCAGTTATATTAAGTCGCCTCAAACTCAGTAAAATGTTACAAACTAGCTTAGTTTTTGTGCTTTTCAGTTGTCTGTGTTCACTTAGTGTTTCAGATATCGGGCCTTGGCGGTCAGAAAACTTGATCTTGGAAACCAATTTTTGTCTTTTTTTGTTAGTTTTGTCTTTGTCTTATGCCATTCATTTAGCAATGGTTACGGCGTAGCTGTCAGTCAGGGTGCAAGAATTGTAAAGTTATGTTAGGCTTGTAAGATTCCATCTATCTCCGGCCTCGTTACTATGCCCTCTTAACACAAAATTTGTTTTTAAGAGGGCATAGTAACGAGGTTGGCAACCCGATTGGTTCTTAGGGTAAGCAAAATTTTCTCCTTTCTCTGCCCACAGGTAGTGCTAACACTTCGTTAAATTCTCTTGTTATATTTTCGTGAATTAATAAGCAAGCAATCGTCATTCTTTTGACGTTTTAAAAAACATTTAACCCTCGGCATTTCACCGCGTCGGATTGCCAAAGGACTCCTGTTTACGCGTCCCATCAAATCCCATCAAATTTCCATAAAGGAAAACCTTCGTCGACCCTTGTGGAAATGCCTATTTTTCAACTTCTTGGATCAGTTGGTGCGAGTTATTTAATTGGCTAATGATATACAACACCGATGACGTCAGGAGCAAGCCTCTCGTCAACCTATCAGACGGGAAGAGGAAGAACATGCCAGGGGACATATATATATAAATATATCACAACATATACATATAACATTTCTGTTATTGGCAAATCAATGAGTGGTTTATAACGTCTAATTTACTGACTGCCAAAGGCCTTTTAAATCGAAAATGATGACTTCCGCTTAGGTTGTCGAAACCTCCGTCAGTGATCACTACCTCCAGAACTGCTTAAATAAAATACTCCTGCTATCACCGGAAACGGTTTTTCACTGTTACATGCTCCACTATTATAATCTCGTCTGATGTATAATTTTTTTTTCAGCTTCAAGACCTTGCTGTAACTCCTGGTTTGCGAGATCCACGCTTGAATTTTGCAGAATCTGTCATAGAAGGGCACATCCCAGACATGAAGACTACTGATCGTTCTTATTTAAGGGTAGTTTTGTGGTTTTCTTTCCTGTGTCCCATGTTTTTTGGTCCATTTTTATATTTTTGGGTCTTACAATACTTAAAAGATGACACTCAATGCACATCACTCTCCGCGGGTGACGATGGAAACCGTAGTAGGGTGGATTATATTTGTCGTAGAAACGAAGAACCATTGATATGTTCAGTAACTCTATTTTGTTGTTTCCCGTTGCTGATAGAGGTCATGTTTGCTTTAGCTAGAGTGTGGACATCCACCGAAATTTCAAAAAGAGGAAATATGTCGCGAGACTTTATTGTACTCCTTGCACATATACCAGAATGGTTAGTGATGTGCTGTTGTAACTGCCTTTGTTGTGAAGATTTGGATATTAGTTCATTTTTCAGCAGATTATTGCTGATTATGTGCACGAGCTTGGTTAGTTACCATTTGGGCTGGGTTGCGGTGGGTATCATGGTTAATCCAGCTTGAGGCGTTTCTGTTTTGTTGATACTTTCCTTTTTTGGCATTACCTTATTTTTTGAAATCAATGAAACAACTCACGCAAATGACATTCGCCTTTCTACCCTTTTCGCATATACACCTGGCTTCCTTGGTCTCTGCTTTGTTGTCGTCCCTCCAGCATTAGTTGGACAGTCATTTTATGGTCGGGAAACTGCAGATGATATTCTAAAAGCAGCGTTATTGTCTGTTACCGATGCTGTGTCATGGCTGTACTTCAAATCCCGCAAAGCTTCCTCTAATACTTCACAGTGTGTTGAGGCTGCTAAGCAAGCAGCAGCTGCAGCGAGGGCTCTGACCGAAAAAATAACTGTACCTCAGCGTGATGGGACTGAGGTTCATTCTGCAATTGTGGCAGCAGCTATAGCTACATCCTCTGCAGCCGGTGCAGCTGCGGCCGCGGCTGAAGCTGTGGCTGTTGCTTTGGCTGCAGCCAAGAATGAAAATTCAAAACTTAAAATCGCGCAAGGTGGAAACGAAAATAGCACCCCAAATGGAAATGGATTAAGCGAGGAGACACATCCCCTATACGAAATCCAAAGTGCCTCCGGACGTTAAAACATCGAGTCTCCATCGCTTTGAATCAATGTTGGTCTGCTTCCCCACTTCCCCCTCCTTGCTCTTACCTTTCGTGCAGGCTCTCTAAAAAAAATTAATCCTCGCGTTCTTGCCTTGGTTTTAATGGTGGTGGTCTAACAGTTTATGTAAAAGTACCAAACGTTCGCTCGTCAAAAATGCTCTTGCTTCATATTAAGGACAGATAATAATATTACGCAAGTTTTAGCTAGAAGTAAAACTCGCTCCTCGGGGCTTATGTGGCCTGGTACATTTTTGACTTCACTTTGCTTACTCCTAGAGAGCTCTAGCTCTTATTTCTTAGTTTATAACATGATATCGATTTCCTGTGACGTCTTTGGTACACACCCCATTGATTTAGACTTCATAGAAATAAAAGTATGCAAGCAAAGATATTTTATCATCTTGTTCAGTCATATAATCAAACCTCCGCTACTCTCGGCTCTCACTGAATATGACAATCTCATTCATTCCTTTCTGAAATAATTTCTCATCTCCCTTTGACGGCTAGCTGTCCTCAACGTCCCGCATTTTCCTCTGCTCTCAAAGTGGCCGAAGTGGAAAAGTTAGACTGTATTTGCTATCAGTAGCGTTTGAACAGATTAGGAGGAAAACGTTTTGTAACGATAGAACATACAGCATATCAGCTTGATGCATTTTGAATTCATCTCTCAAAGCAATTGTTTAAATAAATATTCTTTTTTCCTTCTTTGTAATTAGTGCTATGATTCTCCGAGACTTGGACGTTTGGCATTAAGAAAATCTTACGACAATATTGCAATAGAGTCAGTTTTATTAAGTCACAAACATCAATGTTTTCATAGTATGATGATATTACTATAGTCTAAGTATGAAACTCACTTTCACTCTCATTGATTGTTTATGTATTTTAATTTTTTATATTTTTCCTTTGTACTGCAGTTTTTACTTTAGTGTTAGGCAGGCATTTCATGGAAGGAAAAGTATCGATTAAACTACGAACATGCCGTTTTTCTCGGCATCTTACAGTAATGTTATGGATAGTTTTGTAGTCTCGAAGTGAAAAAACCTGTAACCCGAAACTGTTCCTCTTCAAGCGGTGGCTTCGAGCTCCAAAAATAGGTTGAGGAGGACTCCCCAATACGGATTGAGCGTTTAAATGCACATACGCATATCCCAGCTATTGATTCCAAGGTAACCATGAACTTTTTGAGGCCCTAAAAAGGATTCAAATCCACAGAATAGTTTCCGTACCCCGTTCGAACTAGGGACTTTCCACCTGAACAAAAACGATAACGTAAACTGGCCACCATAAAGAGTTTAAAAGCTTTCCCAAAATGCAGTGGTGCAAATCAACTGCTACTGAAGGTGGCGAGAAGAACCGCAGTTCTTCGAATTCGCCATGTTTTAGCCTTGTTCTGGTGATTTGTATTTCGGTGCGGGAAAGTATTATAGAATAATGCAAGCAGGACAAAAGCTAGGGATTGTGTACATTGGCGAGGCTGGTGGCAAGGTCAGTGCGGAAACGTTTTCAGTGACTGGTTTTATTTACTTACTCGTATTTGATCTGATCAAGTACTAGTCAAGAGTTTATTTGTAATCTTGCGATTTAATTTGCTGATGTTCTCATGATCAGTTATTTCAGTCGTCTCGCAAGCAGTCCATTTGCTTGATTTTTTATGTGCCGAGTGCAGCTTATGTTAAAGAATTTTTATATCTATTAGGTCACTCTGAGGAAATGCAGTTTGAATCAATTGATGTATTGCTTAGAGTGTAACCCTACTCAGCTTAAAAATCTACACCTCTATTGAAAGTGAAGTCTCATTTAAGATTTACATCGCCGGCTAGGCTTAGAGGAGGAATTTACTGCATTCAGTAACAAAAATTCCAAGAAAGGTAGTCTAATTTGCTAAGTACATATAGAAAGAAATGATAACTTAATAATTAGTTCAGTTAAGTGAAAGGGACCTCAAGGTATTCACAACTACAATTGTTTCCAATAGTAAAACATTTACTAAGATAAACATATGAGATAATCTTGACAATTTGTTAATGGCTTTGTATATTGAAAGTTCATAATTTTGAAAGTATTTATCTCACTGATAATTAAAACCATATAGAATGTAATTTGAAAGTCATGAAGGAACCTGAAAAGGATTTTTTTATGCATTGTGTGATCTAAACAGAATGCAAAGCTTAGAGTGGAGTTTGCATGATGACAGATCAGAATCATTTGATTCATTTATCTTCTATGAATGCTTAATTTTTACATTCAATACCTTTGTTCTTGTTCTACCTTAGGGAGAGACATTGTGGTGGCATAGCACCTGGCCTTAAAGTTTCTCACAAAATGGTGTAACAGTCGGTAAGTTATCATCATGAATTAAAAACTAAATCATTTGTGAAACAAAACTTATGGGAAAAGAATTGCCTTTGGATATTCAACATCCTGATGAAGCCATTGCAGGCTAATGATATGCCTCAATTTGGTTCATCAATGCAAAAGGAGGTTATGAACAATAAACAATTTCATTTTGGGACAATAATAAAGTTCAGCTCCTCAGAAACAATCTTAATTTGCTCTTTCTTTTGGTTTGTGTTAGGGGTTGTGATGTTTGCTGGCTATGGTATAAGCTTACTTGATATTTCTTTCCATTGTCCATAGTCAATGTTTCACACCTGTACAGCAGCTTAGAAGATGGAGAGACAGAGAGCAATGAACAAACAGAGTCTGTGTCAGTCGTGTGAATGTCCAATGTAGTATTGCAGGTTAGGCCCTAATTTGTTTCTTTACTGAAAAATAACCCACATGCATACTGAAGATAAAAGAGAACATCTTATTAAGTTCAGCAGCTTAGAGTTACATGCATCATTTTGCATTCAAATTCTCCAAGCACCAACTGGGTGACTAAAGTAAAAGTTTAATTGATAGGAGAATCAAGTTGTATGCTTGCAATCAGTCAAAACTTTATGTGACTGTATCATAGACATTTTTGAATGAATTATGAAGAGATGCCACAGAATATCAATTAAAAGCAAATTGTAAAATGGTTACAGAAGATAACTTTTAATGTTGATGATGATTACACATTGGAACTTTTAGTCATACACAGATTTTTTTGCTACCTCTTGGTAGCACTTAGAGTATTGTTTGGTCAAGTTTTGATTCTTCTGCAACTTAAATTTGGTCAATTTTGATTTGGGATTGGCAGGGTAACAGAAGAAAAAGCTGGTTTGAGAAAAATATTTTGGTACACACCAGCAATGAAGGAAAGATGTGCTAATTAAATTTTGTTAAAATAGATATGTATTACATACCTATAAGGGCTGCAAAGTGTCCCATAGAACACATAATATGGCATATTTACCTTGCAAAGAAGTGGCCAATTATTGTGATTAAGACCTACCTATCTGAAAAGAAAAAAGTATTGGCATGTAAGAGTGAGCTATGTGCATTCATATCTTTGAATGCTCAATGCTATTAACTTACAGAGAGGTAATTACTCATATTTTCTCTTAACTCTTTACACCCTAACATCAGTATGCATATTCTCCATACTGCTCTCTGTGCATTTTCAAAGAGGCTGACAAGGAGAATTTGTGTAATGGTCAAGAGCTGCTTCAGTTGGTGATCATCTGTTCTATTCTCATAACTTCCATGTTTGATTTAGGGGTGATATAGTACAGAGAAACTAGATTTTAATAATTCAAGGGGCTACAGGGTTAACTGTGTGTAGGCAAAGCTCCGCTTATTTTTACAATACTACCGCTGTTTAATATCTGATAGATAATGACAAAATAAACTCAGAAGTAAGCAAATAGAAGACAATATGAAGACAATAATATATTATATAGAAAATCAATACTTATTAATGAACTTGAGTTGAAAACAGAGAGCTGGAACAAACAAGAAGAGTGCATACCCAGTGAATAAGCTTCGCATTACATTGTAAAGATATCTGAGCCAAACAGCTTATTGTAACAGTCAGTTAGACTCGCTTGTATGGAACAGATCAATAAATTAATAAGGTCTGGCAAAAAACAGTTCTTAACCCTTTCACTCCCAAGATCTCATTAGTACTTCTCCTTACTGTCTGCCATATAGTTCTTGTGATGTTAGTTTGGAGAATTTGGTGTTGGATCAACTGATGATTCCCAAATTAGTATTTTCTTTATTCTCATCACTTGTCTGCTTGATATTGTATTGATATTGTAAGGAGACATTCTGTCTTGGTCACTCGTGGGAGTTAAAGGGTTAAAAAGATAATAAAAAGTAAGTAAACTTAATTCTAAGCTTTTTTTCCAGAATGTTAGAGGATTATCATTAGCATCCTAGATTATTTAGAATAATCGGATCAATATCAATATCTGGGCAACTGCCCACCTACCCCTCCCCTAACCCAACATCAACCATAACTTGTTGTCAATTGACTGTTGTTGAGTTTGGGGAGGGGTGGGTGGGCAGTTGCCCAGATACTGATATTGATCCGAATAATCAACTATGGTGAAGCAAAGACCTTAATGCAATTGCTGACTGAGATAAAGCTTGAATTTAATAAATATAGAATTTGTGTAACTGTTTCTGCATTACTTACAACTTGTAGTGAAATGTATGGAAACAATATCTGTAAAACTTTATCATCCCAACACTTATTAATCAAAGCACTAAACTCCAAAATGAGATTGCGTGAGCGTGTTTAGATAAACCTTGAAGCAATAAAGAAGGAAATGAGTCACTTCTTAAACAGAACAATATGTTGATCAAAAGTAGCTGTTCACATCTCTTTATGGCTTATGGGTCAGTTGGCAATTGGATCAAATATTGATTGTTTGAGCATATAAAACTTTCTCTCTTTTTTCTTCACAACACTTAAGTCCCACACTTCACTGAAGCTGAAACTGGAGGCAAAATATGCTTTCTTTTACTTTGCTACGCGTTGCCTGTGGTTGGTTCATTTATTAAATGTGGTTATTGGTTTTTTCTAATTATTATTTTCATATTTGCCAGATTCAGGTACAGCTGCACATGATTCAACAGAACAAGCACAGTCAAATTTAAAAGAAGCTTGTACAGCAACAGTTACAATCACTGTTGTACAAGTTATACCATGTGCCTATAAGTAATTAAATATGCAATTCAACCAAAATTTGATGGGGAGGGGGGAGAAGGTGGTTTAAAGAACAGAGAATAACTGAAGGGGAGGGACTGGGACCAGTCAGTGATATTATACTATCTTACTTTTATTTTATGTAACATCTATACTCTTGGTGCTTTGCCGTAATCCCTTTAAAACTGAAAGTTGATTAACATGTAGCTCCTCATTTCATCTTCATTTAGAGCCTCTTTTTTTAATAAGAGGTGTTGATAGTATTGGCATTTTACTTCTCTCCTTGTTCTTGTTTGACTTGATTATTTGATTACTAATCAGCGACTGGAAGCGACTGTTGAATGTAAGCGCAGAGTGACATAGATCAGAAACGGATGATGACGTTTCATCATCCTTGTGAGTTTAGAGGAAAAACCTCGTGAAATCCAGTGAGGGGAATGTATTGTCAAAAAAACGTGAATCTTCAAGAGTTGTTTGTTTGTGTTTAGCGAACAAGAAGTTCGTAACTAATTAGATTTTTTTTAGCGAGTAGAATCCGAGAAATTTCCAACAGGGGCAAGAATTTGTTTTAGGACCGAAATATAAGTAAAGCAATTTGTAAGGGAAAGTGACAACTTATCTGTAGACACTCATAATTTCTACATTTTTATTTTTTATTTTACTCGCAAGTTTGGCGAGGATTGTTCAATACCACGGATTGTAACGAGTTGTAAAAGAGACTCATCGATCCGTACGATCCGTACGGATCGTGTAATGATCTGAAATGTATTTACGAGTCGTACGCTCCTAACGCGCGAGTCGTCTGTTGTATTCACGAGTCGTAAGGTCGTGGTGTCGATCCATAAATGTTATTAAAGAGACTTTTTTCACCACTTGAGAGTCTTTTAGGCCATGGTGGATTTTGTCGTTTCGTACGATCCCTAGGGATCGTGTGAAAAATTCACGAATCGTGTGACCCGTACGAATCACCTAATGTATTCTCGGGTCGTGTTGTCCATCCGTGAATCTTATTAGGGATACTTGGATTTTGTCTGCTGGATTGCTGGTGTGTCGTGCACTTCGTGCGGTGCGTTTTGAACAAGAAATACCCTTTGTGGTTTTCAAACAAGCAAATTTAATATCCACAAAATTACAAGACAGACTACGACATGCACGCCTCGCCTGAAATATCGTCTCGACACTAGCATACGTAATTACATTGTCACAACCATTTGACAAATGCAACACCCTTGTTGTTCGAGCACTTCGTGTGTTGCTCTTTGGTAGAACTAGTTACACCCTTGTTGTTTGCATGTGCACTGAGCAAGTGATCCGCTCGTATCGTGCAGATCACGCGTGCATTTTAATCCACGCGTCGACACACTTGGTCATGGCCAGAGAGACTCTAAGTCTCTCTTATGAGGTTTACAGATCGACCGGAAAACTTGACTACTCGTGAATACAATAGAAAATCTCCTTGTCGCCTAATATTTCTCCTAAAGTAAAATTTACTAGTTCCATAATAAATCTTATGTCTCTACATCGTTCTTGTATTATGTTCCCTTAATTCCTTTAAAAATTTGACGATTTTAGGCGCCACCTTTGTGAGCGAGGACAACAAGGCATTGAATCAGTTACACTCTGCTGAAAGAGACAGCGACGTCACCAAGATGAAGTCCACGCTTCCTTTTGAATTGTCTATAGACTCCAGAGACGGAACAGGCAGAAAGCAGCGAATGAAAGTTGTGTTGGATGGCATCGTTCATGCGCTCAACTCTAGAATGTAAACAAGTTTCAGCAGCCCCCCCCCCAACTTCCTTTACTAATTGCACGATTAAATGGAGCCCACCCTTGAATCCAATCCACCCCTATTCACCTCCTAAGAGTCATTTTTATCCACACCCTAAGTCAACTGTTTTGCTTTTACTTACCCATCTCTCACTCTGGCAAGACATGTTATCTAAACTAAGGAAGACAACTTTGTTTTGAAACTCATTGCATAAGGCTGTATTTTATTTACCATTTGAAATTTGTTAGAAAAGATGATCAACAATGCTCGGCAATCCAAAAGCACTTAAATATCACGCTCTATCGTTGCATAATGCAATGCCATTAAAATGATGTATTGGGTAATTGTCTCACCTTTAACAAGTTTGTCTGATTATGATCTTTCTATGTGTATTCATGGACAATAAAGACACTATCAAAATAATAACATGCCGTTAAAACTGACTTGTTATTTGCCTGTGAATTGTTGTTTAACCCTTTGACCTCCACTGGTTACCAACACAGAATTTCTCCTGACAATGTTAATACAATATCAAGCAGACAAGTGAAGAGAATTAAGAAAAAGTCAAGCGGGGGATTAGAAGTTGATCCAATACCAAATTCTCTGAACTAGCATCATAAAAATTGTGTGTCAGACAGTAAGGAGAATTACTATTGAGATCTTGGGAAGGAAATGGTCTAAAGCCGCTGAAAGGTTTTGTTTTCGCTTGAATTTGAGCATGAATACATCAGTTAATAAGTTTGGGAACAAGATACCTGTGTTTAAAAAACAAAATATTTCAAAGAAAGGGGATTTTTGGTTTCAAAAGTATTCAATTTAAAGTGCAATTTGAGCTGGAGTTTCAAATATGAGTTACTTATGGTAAGCAGCTACTATAAAGTGGTTACAGCATCTGTAGGTTTTCAAAAGCTGTTCTGCTCTTCCTAAAATTAGATCATGCCGATTTTTAATCATAGTTTCACATAGAATTTGAGAAACTGATTAATAGCATATTGAGCCCCACTGTTCCAAAATGCTTTCTATCCCCTCAGCAAGTGGACCAAAAAAATATTATCTTCAAGTCTTAACTCGATAAAAATTGTAGTTTTAGTAATACACTTCCTGTACGATCAGATTAAAGCATGTTTCACAGATGACGCACTCCCCTTAGAAGTGCATAGCTTTGGTAAAAAAAGATTGTGCTCCCCCTGTTTTTGTGGATCAATGTCAGTTTCTGAGCAACTGAGTACCTACCGGGAAAAGGATTCAGTGATATTTTGAAATGCTTTCATTTCCCCTGTGAAAATATTTCCGTTATTACTATTATTATTGTTGTTGCCTTTCTTTTAACATTTATTTTCAAATTTCTGTTCAAATTTTATGATTTTAGGCAGCATTTCTCTTGAATTTTCTGTTGACTCCCAAAATACAAAAGGTAGAACACAGCTAATGAATGCTGCTGTGAATGGCAAGGTTCAAGCAGTTAAGGGTTTAATGAAGAGAGAAGCAGATCTGTGTCTGATGAACAACGGAGGATGGAATTCATTACAACTTGCTGCGCTGGGTGGTAACTCTGAAATCATTGCTCTAATGTAACCCACGTGCCTAACATTGAGTCAAGGTGTGCTGAGAATCTCTCCCTATTTATGATTCCTTTTGTGAATTGTAATTGACAGGCCGTGTAGTGGTTTCTTGAGCAGGAAGTAAATGCAACCAGTGAAAACAACAGAGGATATCAGAATGTGTTCTGCTTTTCCGCACAGAATACTGACACTGAAGTCATTAATCTTATCCTTCTTGACGTGCCAGACATTGAACCACGGAAGCAGAGCAGGGTCGCTTGCCCCTTATAGTAGCTGGTTTGACTGGTAAGGAACATGCAGTGGAATGGTCTGTAGGAGGAGGACAAGTACAACCTGTGTAGACAACGATGAAATGTGCTGCATAGGAAAAAAACCGCCTGTGGTGACACATCTCTAATCATTGTTGTTGGTCATAGCAAGCTGTAGGGTGTAAAGTATAACCTTTGGAGGAGGGTAAATCCTTTGGCTAAAGACAACAACAGACAGGATTCTTTATATCTTGCCTCATCATGTGACCCATACTTTCTTGACTAATTACTGCTGTGTCACATGCACCTTTCCTTTGCCTGAATAGTTTTTGAGTAAAGGGAGCAAGTTTCTAAAGAAACAGGGGTGCTGCGTCGGTGGGACAGTATAATAGGGTAGTTTACTATTATCAACTAAGTTGATAAAGTAAATTGGCTCCCGTGAAAATTTTACCGGTAAAAGCTAACATTTCGAGCGTTAGCCCTTCGTCAATCGCTCTAACGCTCGAAACTTCAGCTGCTTAACTCTTTGCGGTGGCCAATTTACGTTATCAATTCAATTGATACACTAAATTACCTAGTTTTTGAGTAGCCTTGTTAGATATGCAAAGTCAAGTTTATTAAACTAGTATAGAAAAACAATAACTATCTTGTGTACCTCAGTGGTTTGCTAAATTATGCCAAAACTGAGGCTAACACAATCGTCAAAGGCTCACTTAAGAAACTATGGTCGGGCATTCGTCAAGTTTCTCCTGTTGGAGCGCCGTGTTACACGAGACTGTATCCAGTTCTACACCCAGAAAGGTTAATGTGCAGGTAGATGGCATGAGTTTATGCTGACTGATAGTAAAAGCCTAAATCCTGCAGCAACTTTAGAGTTTGTTGTCTTTTATGCAAGAAACTAGAAACTATGGTCTGGCATTCGTGAAGTTCTCCTGTGGGAGCGCCGTGCTACACGAGACTGTATCCAGTTGTGCAGCCTGAAAGGTTATTGTGCAGGTAGGTGGCATGAGTTTACGCTGACTGACAGTAAAACCTAAATCCTGCAGCAATTGTAGCAATTACGACTTCATAGGTATTGGTGCACTTCAGTACGGAGACCCACTGGTAACGGTTTGAAAGTTCCATCGTATAAGCTAAATTGTTTGGCACATCTTATGGCGTACTTAGTTTGTTAATGGTCAGAAAATTATAAAAAATCCTAGTACTTCCAACCACTCACTGTCAAATTGAAACTTGCTCTATACGGGGCTTTTTTAGGCCATATGACACGACTAATTTGGTGTTTCCACCGTCTGCTATGTTCGTTCGTAAATCTTAAATAGTGTTATGACTTACTAAACCAATACTTTTGTTCTTTACTATATTTGACGTCATCGTAATCCCTTTTAATGAGTCAGAAACAACAGTAGAACGTTTAGCTCACTTGTAGAGATGTATTAAACTATTTTTGTCATGTGCCAGTATGTTCTACAATGTGTTTGATCACTGTTTTCTTTTCCTCTTGCCATGCGGGCAATTTATGGAAGGGGGACCTGATAATGGTTTTTGCAAGTTATTTGCATTCCTTTGCCTGAATAGTTTTTCAGTGAAGGTGGCAAGTTTCTAAAGAAGCTGTAGTGCTGAGTAGGTGGGAGAGTATAACAGAGTGATGTAGTATTATCAACTGAATTATTAACGTAAATTGGCCACCGAAAAGAGTAACAGCAGAGCGTTTCGAGCGTCAGTCCTTCGTCTATCGCTCTGGCGAAGGGCCAACGCTCGAAACTTCAGTTGTTAAACTCTACGGTGGCCAATTTACGTTATCAACTCAGTTGATAATACTAAATTATCTTGATTTTGAGTAGCCTAGTCAGATATCCAAAGTCAAATATGTTAAACTATTATACAAACACCATAACTATCTTGAACAACTCAGTGGTTTGCTAAATTATGCCAAAACTGAAGTTAACACAGTCGTTAGAAGCTCACTTACTGTGAACATGGGGAGAGGACTGGGAAGGGTTAACAACTGTACCCTACTTTAACCCCCCTTCCCCTATTGTCAGACCCCCCCATACTCTGTCAGCGACAATTTATCCAACCTCCATGGTGGCTGAGGGCTGCCACTCAAAATTGTACAATTTTTCAAAGATTTAATAAAAAACAAAAGAAAAATAAATCAAAACTGAAAGTAAAACGGAACGTAACTGCAAAACAAAGGAAAAAGAACGATTGAAAGTAAAATGAAGTAGCAAGAAAATTTAAAAGCAAAAGTAATTGCATTATCAAAATAAAAATCATTTCCAAATTAAACTGAAATCCAAGGGTAATTCACGGTGAAATGAAAAATAAATTGAAAATCAAATCAAAACAAAAGTCAAAGTGAATATCACTGTGGCCGAGGGCTGCCAGTACCATGATACTGTGCGGGAGTGATTGTATGCCCCATTATGCATTTTGTCCTTTTACTGAAGTGTGAAGTTATTTTGATCTTGAGTGATTTAAGAAGAGTTTTTTAGTATTTCAATGTCAAATTTCAGAGAGGCCTTGTAGAAAAATAATGCCAACCTTAAAGAGGCTTTGCTGAAATATGTCGGGCGAGGATTACAAAGACGAGAGATGTTAGATTTCCTCTGTCGTGACTTTCCACTTTACGTGTGGAGTCTAAGGATGCTTGATAGAAGGCTTCGTCATTTTGGCATATTTTTCAATGATGGTACTTATAAATTAGATCTAGTAATGAAGGCATTTGAAACTGAGCCAAACGGGCCTGGAAAGCTATCGGGATACCGCGCAATGTATAAAAAATAAGGCAAGAGCATGGCTTAAATGTAACTAAAGATCAAGTTTACGTTATAATGAATGAACTAGATCCCGACGGATTCGAGGCGAGGGGATGTGTTGGTGGAAAGAAATTCGCACTTTTTCCCTTCCTACAGAAAATCTTACAAAGGTGGCCAAAAAATTCTACATAATTGGAGTTGTTCGGTGATGTTATCATTTCTTTATTGGTACAAGTAATTGCACTACTTCGAGTGAAATTTGGTGTAAATATCCTCGTTTTCTTTCTTTTTTTTTCAAAATCAAGATAATTGCACGATTTTCACGTTTTGTCGTACTCTCAAACCTTACAAAATATTCCAAACTCTATTTTCACTTGATACAAATGTTATCAAAAGGCATTTCTAGCTGAGACGTAAACTTCTTCAACGAAATGCAACTTACGTTCATGTTTCCAAATTTTACATAACTACACAACTGTAATTTTGTACGTGTTCTATAATGAAAAAAATGTTATATGATCAAAAAAGTAACCCCATACCATTTACTTGTGAAAAATATACCAAAATCGTATTAATTTTAAAACATCTTAAACTAGACGCATATTTGCGTTCACTCGGGCTTTCTGTTGGAAAGAAACTTTGTTTTTTTCTTCTGTGCCTACATGTGCCTAAGTTATTTTGTGCAGTTATTGGTTTATCCTGTAACCGTTTTCTGTCTTGGTATGCCTAAGATGCAGGTTTCTCACACATGTATACAGAGAGCTGAAAACAACATTTGTTATGTAGTGTAAAGACCCTTTTCTGGAGTGGGGTGGGGGGAGTTACTGCCATGCACTAATGGCTATTATTTCAGTACTTGTTACTCAACACTATTACTTGTGTTACATAATGTGTTCTAATGAAAAAGACCCTTTTACTTGTGAAATATGCACAAAATCAAATCAATTTTAAAAATGTTTGACTCGATAGAAATAAAATCACCGGTAATATAGTTCAGATATACACTTCAGGCTGTTATCAGATTGGGTTCATTTTCAAAAATCTCCAACACTGGAAGCTTTTCCTGTATAGCACAAGCCACACGAGAACCCCAAATATTGACAACACCACGCAAACTGCAACCTAAAAGACAAAACCAATGAGTATTTTAAGAAGAAACATGAAGATTCCTTCGACAATTGAACAAGAACACGCTGCACTAAGAGGCTGTATATTTTGTTATATGTTGTCTCATACCACTGGCAGGCCAGCACTTATACCGCGACTTACCATTCATTCGGATCATTCATATGTTTTAAGCTTATGGCTGTGGTCTGACATAGTCTGTCTACAGACAATTGACTTTTGTCATCGGGTGACTCGTAGAACTTTGATTTCATGAAAGCTTTCAAATGCTGGACGACCAAATTCTGGGAAAAATGCCGTTACGCACACAGTGATTGAAATCAACCAGCTTAATAGAACTAAATCATTAAATTTAGCCAACATGTCACAGAAAACCCAGGTTCAAGAGGTGGACCTCAATGAAAGAAACTATTCAATACCGTAAAAGTCACTATGCGCAGGACCTTTACTGACAGCACATAGGTCTATACTGAGCTGGTAAAAATCTTAAAATATCACACAGTCTGTTAAAAATTTCCAGTGACAGCACTAGAACCACTAGTTAATACAACGGCTTTAAAGTTGATAAACAAAACAGCGAATTACATTTTGACATTGAGGATTTAAACGATTTAAAATGAGCTGTACACATTATCAGACCAACCTGAATTAATCATTGCCAGTTGTAGACTCACTATTAGCCACGTGACTCAGCACCAAGCCCAGGAGATCTGGGTCACCTGATGAGGCATAATATAAAGAATCCTGTCCTTCGTTATCTTTAGCCAAAGGATTGGCTCCCCTCTCAAGGAGACACTTTATACCCTGTAGCGTTTGACAACGAACAGCAATAATTAAAGGTGTTTCACCATCAGCTGTTTTTGACTCAATGTTCGGCACGTGAGTAAGGATATGATCAATGGTTTCAGGGTCACCATTAGACGCAGCAGAATGTAAAGCATTCCATCCCCCTTTGTCTTCATAGGTTGCATTTGCCCCTCTCTCGAGAAACCATTTCACTGCATGTAATTTGCCATTGTAAGCCGCTACCAATAGCGGCGTCGCCCCCTTGCCATTTAATGAGTCAATGTCCGGCATTCGGGTATGGATCAGAGAGATGATATCAGTGTCTCCGCCAAGTGCGGCAAAATGTAACGAATTCCATCCTGTGTTGTCCTTTAAGGACGGATCTGCTCCTTCCTCTATCAGAAGCTTCACGGATTGAACGTTGCCATTCATAGCAGCATTCATTAGCGGCGTGATGCCCGTTGCATTTCTGGAATCAACAGAACGTCCAAGAGGAGGCGTGGATTTCATTCTAGTGACGTCACTGTCTCTTTCGGCAGAGTGTAACTGATTCAATTCATTGTTGTCTTCGCTCACAGAAGTGCCGCCTAAAATCATACAATGAGAAAAGCAATTAAAAAAGGCATCACACTTCAAGGAAGATGCAGAAACTTTAAATTTTTTTGAAACTAGCGACGTTAGGAGAACAATTAGGTAACAAAGAAATTTGGGACAATTACAACAATAATACTAATTATAATAATAATCATGGCTGATTAGCAAAATTGCTCCGGTGAATACTGAGATGCATGCACTCTGGTTGGTTAAGGATTGCATCATATCTCGCTAAAATCACCTCCCGCGAGGAGATTGTATCATTTCAAACTGCTAGTGAAAACTGGCTACCTATCTCGATACGAGTAATCAAAACAATTGTAACAGATTGGTATCAATTAAAGGCTCAACAGCTCGTTAACTAAAAGCCTAAAGCAAAGTCTCGATTAGATTAAAATTTAGTTGCCGTAAGCGTTACAGCCGGACTATATATGAAAATTATGATAGGGAAAAAAAGTTCTTTATAGCCTTAATTGCCATTTTGAAAAGTTTCCTCGTTCAACTTTGTTCCATGACATCTAAAAGAATTTATGATTATTGTAGGTCCAAGTTGACTCAAGGCTGATTCAACTTTTTACCAGACTACCTGTTTTATCAGTTATTAGACCATTTAAAGCTGAAACATTTAAATTTAAGTAAATTTACCAAAGACAAGGTTCTTCATCTTTACCACAAGACTCTTACATGGCTCCTCCCAGCTGTACTTCTCCAAGTACTTTTTACGTAGAAATCTTGACTCTGAAAGTCGCACATCCCTCTCTTTCTGACGGACACGCTTGATTTCTTTGGCCCAGTCTTTAGGATCTTCAGAGTCTACCACACTCTGTGAGCCTAAAGTGACTTTCTTCAGAGCTTCTCCGAGTCCTGAATTACCACTGACAAGTACAGGCAGACCAGCAGATAACGCTTCCAGAGCCGTTATTCCAAAACTTTCTGTCCTGGATGGCATTATTGCAAGATCCATTTCACAGAATAAGTTTGCCAGCACTTCTCTGTCATCATTATAGCTGCGAACAATAAGCCGATTATTACTAATGCCATCATGGAGCAACTTTCCTGCCACAATATCTGCTTTTCCTCCAGCTGCACAGACAAAATTGAGTTTGTAAGATTCATCTTTCAACTCAGCAATTGCTTTGACAGCTATGTCGTACCCTTTGACATTGAAATCTCCACAGTTGTCACCACTTCCAATTACAAGAATACAGAATGTTCTTCTTTCTTCAGTGGCTTGCTTTACAGCCAAAAATTCAGAGAAAATGCTTGGAGTAAGGTCAAAAACTTTTTCTTCCTGTTTAACTGGACGAAGGTAACGCTTGTAAGCTTCTGCCAGCTTGGGTCCAATTGTGATAACTTGATCAGCCATTTTACAAAGTTGGATTTCTGTTTCTTGCATTTGTTCACCTTCTGAAATGTTTTTGTACATTCCATCTTCTTCAGGAGCAGAGTGAACTGCTTGAATCCATTTGCAATGACTGTAACTTGGATTTTTCTTGATGGAAGTAATTGGTCGGCCAAGGTGAACTCCATGACCAATGACACAGTCCATTGTATGGTCTCTTGGAGGAAATGAGAGGCAAAGAACTGGGTCATGACCAGGAACTCTATCTGCTTTGATGAGCTTCACATTGTGACTTTCTGCTCTGCTCCTGTCCATTTCACTGCAATTTGGAAGCAAGACACTAACATCCACATTATGGTGTTTAGCTAACTGGATCGCCAGCTCTCGGTTGATAGTTGACACGTCCCCATTAGTTGATGATTTCCACTCACTACTTAGCAACGTGACTTTCAGTGTCATGTTTTCCTGGCCTTCCTGTGACGCACAGGCCACACTTGGAATCATGAAATCCTAATTACAACAACAAACAAGAATGGTATTGACAATAAGCTGTAAAACAATATTAAATCACAATGATGCATGTCCACTCGGTATGTAATGTCAATTCGTTTGTAAAATTGCAGTTAAGTTTTATCCTTTGCCAAAAAGTCAGATACATGTAGATTGAGACAAATTTTAAACCAGGAAAATATTAAGTTACTTTATAGATGACTACACTGTCATTGTCACTGATAACAACCATTGCAGTTACAGCTGTACAAGGAATTAAATTTGAAAGTAAAAGTTATCCTTAAAGGGTCCTCCTTTTCAACTCACTTTGAAATTGGTACATGACTTATTTAGTCTCACTGAAGAGATTTAGGTAAAAAAGAAAACAAGGGGAAAATTAATATTTTTGTCAAAATAAAAGCTTGGTATTTGTAGTAGATTTAGATTTCTCTTCCTACCATCTGTAGCATTGTTATAAAAAAGTCATAGGTCATGGACTGAGAGCCATTTTTATATGATTAAAAAATTATCAAGATTCTTAATGAAATAAATTTCAATTGCAGAAATGATCCTTAAAGGTATTGCATTGTAATTTAACCCTTTAACTCCCAAAATTGCATTGTTAATTCTCTCCTGTAGCTACTTAACACATTTCCTTATAAATTAGTCACGAAAATTTGCTGTTAGATCAAGATAACAGTTTCTACCTGGTAAGATTAAATATTCTCATTACCTGTTTGATAGATAATGTATGCATAATATTGGAAGAAGTGACTTGTTAATCACTTCTGCAAGTTAAAGGGTTAAGCAACTCCAGAGAACAGGATTCTTCCACAGGATTCTACTGAAGCCGATAAAAGACAATACCAATATATTTTTGAAATCCAAAACATAGTCCAAATTGTAGTTTAATACTGACCGAGCCTTCTTTTCAAAGTCTTCAGATGGATAGAAATACCATGATATTTTATGAAAACACTGATGACGATCAAAATCCTCTTTTAAAGCAATGCTCTATAGCAAATTTCTTATCTGCTAATGTATCCACCTCTCTTTAATGTTTAATCACTCATTATTCTCAAGAAACTAGGAATCTGCTTTATACCAACCAACCGGATGACACAACAGCATTCTTGAATTAGGAGACACATCGCCAGATACAGTAGCGCTCGCGTAAACGTTAACCGAAAAACGCGAATTAAACGCGCCAAAAAATCGCATGCAACTGCGAATAAAAAAAATCGTGTGCGTCAAAAAAATCGCACGTGCGCGCACGATCCTGAAACATCCGCCTCATTAGTATGTATGAGGTCATCGTTTTGTTTTTCTACTGTTGGCTGTTTGTTGTTTTAAAGAATAGGCCACAATGTAGGAGCACTAAAATACTAAACGGCCACCAACGACAAGCAAACTTGTTCGTTGCAATCGCCGTTCGAACCGACCATCTCAAGTTGCTGTTACCAGTGCGACTTTGTAATCGGAATATATAAATGATTTGTCATTTTCCTACGGAATCCATTTATCAAAATAGCTATTTCTCACTTCGTTTACAGAAACATCTGTCGCAACGGCTTGGAAATTTGTTCAAAATAAATTGTCTCAGTGTATCGTAATTCGGTAGAATCAGCTAAGGCGTCCGTTTGTAACAAGTTGTCGCGTTCTGAATGCAAACCCACGCTCGAATGCTCATTTTATAACTTTTGACATCGGTGCACATGCATTTCTCGAAAAACTGGTTCCTTCATCTCGCCATTTATTCACAGACTAACAAGTTCTACTCGCTTATTTTAATGGTGTTATGTTACAGCATATTTACCTGTCACGACTACGTCTTCCTCTGACTCGTATGCAAATTTTTAAGTGAAACCGGATTTGCTCTTTGTTTCGTTATTTGCCAAATCATTAATCGATGTTCACCAAATTGCTCGAAAAATGGGAACGGAAAAATTTACAGCGAGATACATGTAGTTCAAGTTTGTTTACGACCCGCCGGCGCGAATTTGAAACACATCTCTCATGCGTGAATTACTAAGCATTTTAACCGAACGAAATTCTACAACCCTAAAATTAAAGTGTTCCACAGGCAACAGAAAACCGTCAGTTATTCAGACAAGTGGACCGAAAACGTACACAATTCATGTTGCCACGTTTTTTGGTACCATTTCGCCTATAACACCTCACAGTTGTGAATACATGCAATGCAACGAAGGTACAGACAATACAAATCCAGGGAAAACACGCACATCAAGTCACACTTTTCTAACGTACATTTAATCGAGAAAGTTGACAAAATTACATACATCTCTAATTGACTGGACTTCTTCGGAAGAAGTAACCTCGAGTTTACAAAGAAGAGGAGCTTTACGCGAGTTTCCGGCCGACGCAAACGTTGCAACTCAGCAAGTTTGTATGGCGCCATGAACGCTGGGAATCTGATATTTCAAATTTGCATGTTTTCTCACGATAAAGAGCTTAAAGACAACCCACATGTACACATTTGAAGATATCAAGAGGATCTTTATATCTGAAAGTGGCATCGAACAGATCTTGAGACGTACAAGAATTGTAATTCCTCAATCGAATACCTTTGGTTACAGAAGCACACGTAAACTGTTGTTGATTATTGCCACTGGTTTCCACTGCTGGAGGCCTCTGAAAGGAATGACCACAACTTCGCCGGTGAATCATTCATTCGAAGACATGATTACGAGCTGAAGAAATATGGAATTCTCTCATGATTGATGCAAACGCTCCCTCGCTAGGAAGTCAGCTCAGTCAAAGATAACCCGGGAGTTACTACATCATGGGCGACGAGCGGGGAAAGAAGAAAAGATAGAAATACGAGTGGTCAGCGGGGAAACAAATTTAATAATTCATAGCCTTCATAAGGCTAATGTGTTTACCTTGCTCAGGGCCACTTGTTCAGGAGACCTTTTTTCAAAAGATCCAGACGTTAAAGTAATTCTGTTTTCCGTTCGAAGTGTTTTTTTCCTATTTAAGTTAACAAATGAACCCGGTATGAAAACTTAACTTTCGAACCGAACGGCAGGTGAAATGTTGTGTTGGTGTCTCTGTCCCCCATGTAAATATTGATTCTAATAGGCATGTAGGAAATCTCTGAGCTTCGAGAAACAGTCAAGTCAAGGTTAATGTGTTTACCTTGCTTAAATATTTATAATCAGGGCCACTCGTTCAGGAGACCTTTTTTCAAAAGATCCAGACATTAAAATAATTCTGTTTTCCGTTCGAAGTGTTTTTTTCCTATTTAATTCAACAAATGAACTCGGTATGAAAACTTAACTTTCGAACCGAACGGCAGGTGAAATGTTGTGTTGGTGTCTCTGTCCCCCATGTAAATATTGATTCTAATAGGCATGTAGGAAATCTCTGAGCTTCGAGAAACAGTCAAGTTAAGGCTAATGTGTTTACCTTGCTTAAATGTTTTTAATCAGGGCCACTCGTTCAGGAGACCTTTTTTCAAAAGATCCAGACGTTAAAATAATTCTGTTTTCCGTTCGGAGTGTTTTTTTTCCTATTTAATTTAACAAATGAACTCGGTATGAAAACTTAACTTTCGAACCGAACGGCAGGTGAAATGTTATGTTGGTGTTTCTGTCCCCACACCAAATTTTTAAAAAAATCCTTAAAACTAGACTGGTGAGCAGCACTCTACGAACAGCAGTTGTAAAATCTCTTTACTCTCCGACGCGTTTCGTCTAATTGTCGTAGACTTCTTCAGGGAGTTTTACAATTTAACACTAAACACCTGTATTAATAAGCCATAGTTAGCGGTTATACGAGGGTCAATGACCATAAAGGCTCGGCCGGACCTACCAATAGGAACAGGTGAAGTTGCGAAATTTTTGAAAATTTTTTGGGGGAAGGTGGGAGAATTCATTTGGGGACTACGGTTTTGGTTATCTCTTTTTCGTCACGCACGTCACGCAGCAAGTTACAAAACGTAAATATAATTCTTCTTGGTGCCTTTTTGGATGCCACCGATGCCTTTTATGATGCCTCCATTGTTTATTACGGCAGTGAAAGACATATGTGCCATCAACACTTTAGGAAAATTGCTTAAAATTTTATTTAGCGAAGTATACTGTTAACATTTCGGCTTTACAACACTATTTTTTTCTGCAACTACAACTGATACGTCTCTACATGAAGTATTAAATTTGTTTCCCCGCTGACCACTCGTATTTCGCTCTTTTCTTCTTTCCCCGCACGTCGCCCGTGATGTAGTAACTCCCAAGATAACCCTTAGATTGTGAAAGAAAATTATCGCTGTGGGCGGGTGTGTAATTCTATATCAATTTAGTCACATGATTAATTTAACGGCGGATTAGAGAGAATGCCTGACAACGTTCTTTGGAGGTTAAATGGGTACGGTACTATGGGTACGATGCGGTAAATGAGCCTAGGGTAAAATATGGACTAGACTATATTTTGGACCATTTTTTTTGGACTATTTTTTGGACCATTTTTTTTTTGGACCATTTCATAAGGGGGGGGGGGAAACACACCATTAGTACTCAGGGAAGTGTAGGATGCAGTCTATTAGTACCGAGGAAGGGGTAGGAGGTAGAGTGTTATTACTCAGGGAGGGGTAAGAGACAGAATACTACTACGCAGGGAGGGGTGGGAGGTGGTTGTAATGGTAAACACTACTGGTGAATGGGGCTTTTACTCGATCGTTCAAATTATTTTAATCGCTTTTTCGACTGACTTTTTGTTTGTCAAAATTTTTGCGCTGGGCCGTGGCGTTTCTTCATTCTTGTCGTCATGCGAAAGCGAAACTGTCACGTAAACACTGGACTTTGATT